TGTGCAGGTTGTGCTTGTGCTTAACATAGGTTTTAACAGTGACATTCAGGAGAAAAGGAGGATTCTGTACAAAGACTCTGAGGAGATGAAGCTGCTTCTCTGCAAGCCTGGATGAGGAGCCTCCAAGAGAGGTGAGATTGCAGACGTGTCCCTGTGTGCAGCATCTTCTATGAGCTTGCACTGACATGACTTTCTGCTCTGTGTGTGTGTGTTTTTTTATGGGGGGTTGTATTTTCCATTCCATCTCTGGAGTGCCCTGATCTCTCCCTGTAGTTGGAGGCAAGGCAGCTTCTGGATTCGCTCCCTGCAGTGCAAAAGTCTCAAAACAAAACACGATGTCACCTAATTGTGAGCGCTGAAATTATTTATGGACCTGGCCTTTGGAGTCAGAGCCTCAAACTTCTTTAATTACCTTTGGGGATCTGTGCACAGGATACCATGGTGATGAGAATAATATTTGGAATTCAAGTCTTGTCTAATGTGCTTTAGCAGCTGGAATGGGCAAGCAGCTGATTATGACCATAACAGAAATCATGCCAGAAACCTCCATACACAGAGTTTGGAGTGTTGGCTTTTTAATCAGATGTATAAAACTCTTGTTATCTTTCTTAAGCCCTTCTGGAAACAAAATTTGGAAGGAAAGCTCCTGTTCAATATTCAATGTCCCTGTGCAATGTGAATCTTTACCTATAAAGCTGCCTTTCAGACAAAAAGTCCTCACCAAAGGAGGAAAGACTAGAATGTAAATTGTTTTCTTGCTACTGCTGTCTGGGGCATTAGTATACATCCACTAAGAAACAAAAACTGAACATGCAAATTATTCCCAGTACAGATCCATACCAACATTGCTGGAATTAGGCTGAACCTGCCGTTGTTTGATTCAAACTGTGTAAACTCTCTGGGGTCAGCTTAAATATTTGAGGTGATCTGTTTCTCAGGGGAAGCCCTCCAGGTTCATTAGCAGCCCATGGCAATTGTCAGAACCGATGGTATCTGGAGGCAGTTGCTGCTTCTCAAACTCGCCTCCAAGGACCCACTGAGGCACAGCTACACAGGACTGTCCATAGGATGATGTAAGATTTGGAACCAGAGGCAGCCCACATTGAGCCAGATCATAGCACAAGTCTATCAGCCCCAGCCACGTGGGATTCATCTGAGCAAATAAACTGGTTGTCTAGTCTTGCTTTGGCACTACAGGGAAATTGGCACATTCAAGGCATGATTCATCTTGCCCTAAAGCTGATATCTAAAATAGGTCAGCTGAGCTGTGAAAGTGCCTGTTTCCCTTCACGGTTACAAAGGATGGGAGGCTCAGTGAGGCACAGATGTCTCCAGCGTGGATGTTTTGAATTAGGCAAGATGAATCCTGTCTATGCTGTATTTTTTAAAAATGCTTTGTGTGATGGAAGTACAAGTCCAATTAAAAAATACAGTGTCCTCAAGGGCCCTCGATGAAACGTGTTTGCTCTGAGCTCAACTCTGACCCAAAGTATCTTTATCTGAAGTCACAAAGTATTTAGTGACTATAACTTGTCAGACACTTCAGCATTTGGTCCTCTTTATCGCTTTTGTTTAGCAACCAAACTCAAAGATTTAATGGATGCTTTTAGAGCTTACTCCCAAAACTTTAAAATTATTTGGATCAGGTAGCATGAACATTTCCCCCTTCTTCAGAGCTCTAGGACTCATAGCAAATTCCTATTTTCTTCGTTGTATTTATTCCTTTGTCTTGTATCATCCATAATGCTGTGATTGTCCCACAGCTCAGAGGAGAAGATTTCTTGAGTAGTTTGGAGCATCTTGAACTTTGATTTCTAATCAATTTGCGCTAACAGCTCTGGAAACCAATATAACAAGCCAGGCCTTTTCTGTCTCTTTCTCTTTCTTACGTTTGGAAAAATAAATCTGAGCAGCGACGTGAGTCTTGTATAATTACTCTTCCATTTGTATTTCTAGACTTGTCAATCTGGCAAGCGTCACAGAGCGGGATTAAAAGCTTTCTCCTTCTCTCTCAATCAGAGACTTCATTTGCTTCCGTGTTTTACAGTAAATATAATCAGTTCAGCAGGAGATGGTTTTGTTCTCTGCAGTGATGTCTTCCTAGTCGAGGGAGCTCTTATTAGCAGCCCGGATGGGAAGTCAGTTGACAGGAGCCCCCGACACCGCATGTTGTTACAGCTGTAGGCAGAGTGCTCTTGGCTGGAGTCCCCCTGGGGCACCTGGAAATGTGTCTCCCCCACAGGAAACCCAAAGATATCTACTCCTTCCTTTCTGGTTGGGGTTTAGGAGACTCTAAAGAGGAGTTGGAGTCAGACTCAACCACCCTCCATGTGGGAGCAGGGTGATGCTGTAGGTCTGCAGGGTGGCTGCTGGGCCAAGGGAAGATGGTGCAGATTAATCTTAACTCCCTATTAGTCCCAAACATGGGGGTTCTGGGAACCTCCTCCAACCAGGCACAGTCCACAGCCACACAGGGACTTCTGTTCATCTTTTGGGCAGGGATTGGCCCCAGTTTGGTGGGAAGGGGAAGTGCTGGAGCATGGCAAGTCTTGGCTGTGGGATGGAGGGGGCCAAGCTTGGTGGGGGCTTGGACTGAGGGTCACCGGTCAGGATTGCAAATGGTTTGACACTCTGTAGAGGACAGGAATAAAGGAATTTTTGTTTAATGGAGAATTATTACTTGGGCACTTAGATATCTCTAAGTTTAGCAGCAGAGCAGGGAGTTTAAATATTGCTTTCCGTGCATTTAAGCACCTGAATTCCACTGGCACCTCATTTAGTTTGTCTTTGTCCTTTTTTTCACCCTGACTTGCAGGCTCTGTGCCTTGATTTCCAACACATAAACACAACACAAAATACAATAAAAGGAAATTGGAAATGCTTTGGTTAAGCCTTGATGGCAGCTGGTATGTAAATGCAAAGACTTCAGACTGTCTCTCAGTACAGAGCCACCCTTAGCGCTTCATCGTTTATAACTTTTGCATGGTCAGAGCCACAGATATACCAATATTTCAGTGCTTTCACTGATTGCTTCATTTCCCAGTTCTGCACCTGAATTCAAGAGTGATGTCAAGTTTCATGCAGTGTAAGTCCTTTGCCAATCCTTCATTAAACAAAAAGCAAACCTACCCTTAAGCTCCAAGGATTTGTTTTTTCCCCCTATATCTTTCCCAACACTTTTAATCACTTTATGAGGACAAAATGTCTATTTTTTACCTAATGACTTTGCAAAAGTCAGCCCAGGAGTTGATATTTCTATTCTTTCCTGTTTTCACCCCTCATAAATATTCTGTGGTGGGGCCTGAGCTGACAGTTGTGATGAAGAGACGGGGTGGCACAGAAATACTTGGTCCTCTGTGGCTGTGCTGACAGCTGGTGTGGACTGGCACAGATCCAGTGGAGATCTGGCCCCTGGTCCTGGATTTGTACAGGGAATCTATCTATAAAGGCAGGAGCCATTTTACAGGCTGCATTTTCCCTTAGCCTGACAGGTTTTAATAGCTGGTACGAGGGTGCTGTTGCATCCTAAAAGGCATTGTAGAAACTCATAATTAAGAGCAACCTTGCTGCATAAAGCTCTTAATTTAAGCTAAAAAACCAAAGCAAAACAAAACAAAAAACCCCCAGACAAACAAAAAAACACCCACCCACCCACCCGAGAAAATGGACACGAGAGGATGCAATGCACAGAAAAGCAGCCTGGTTTTCAAAGCAGGTGAGGCTTTCAGCGTTGTGCTGCCGGTATTCGAAGGGGAAATGGTCGTAGCTAAAGCGAGGACCTCGGGAGCGCTGATCTCCTGGAAAGCCGGGAGAGGCTGCTGAGCCAGCCCGGCTGAGCATCCCGCCCAGCGAGGAGGCTGCAAGCTGTTGCACAGCCCCTCGCCAGCCAAGAGCAGGGCGAGCCAAGCGCCAGCCCGGGAGCCAAGCGGGGATCCAGCTGCCGCTTTCGGGGCGGGGAGGGGAGGATGGACTGGGCGACTTCCCTGGGCTTGGCACCGCATCCCGGCAGCCTGGCCAACCGTGCCCCTGGAGTGTGTGTGGCGGGAGCAGCGCTGCTGAGGCAGACAGATAAAGAGGTTGTACCGGGACCACTTTCCACACAGCAATTAACGGGAAGAGACGGCACCGAGCAAATATTCCAACCGCGGATCCAGGAGGTGCCAATATGTTTTGCCGTTCCGCGATTGTGTTCTGGAGGCGGCAGCAGGGCTGTTACACTGAAGGGTCTGTTCAGTTGGCATTTCCACTATAAACCTAATTTTTGAAAGGGGTTATGATTCGGCCATTTTTAATTAACGAGGGGATTAAAGTTGGCACACGGGCGCTCAAGGGCTGTTTGTTGCTGGTTTAATTTATTTTCTTTTTTTTTTTAATCCAATCTGTTAGGCCCATCTCAAATAATATTCTTTGTTTCCACTTGCTGGGGTTGACTTTAAAGATCTCTATGCGTGTGTGTGGACCTGTGTCTATGTATAAGAGAAAAGAGATTTATCAAGGTGAAGAGCCACGTCAGAGTAGGTGAGCAGGTTGCTGAAAGATCCCACATTCCCAAGGCCACTGTAACTCATACCAACTATGTGCTGAAGCAGAAGCAGTTGCAAATTTTTTGCTGAATTTTGCAGAATTTTGTCCACTTGGGACGTGCAAAAAGTTTGCTCCAGACTTAGGCATCATTCTTATGCACAACACTTTGAAGCTGTGAGATACTAATATTTATTTATCAAAGTCTTACCAGGCAGCTTGTTGGTAAGTCACTGTTGGAATACATAAAATCATGTAAATACAATGACACTGTAAATAGTTACCTATTGTAGACTATATTATTGTAAATCCCCAAATTTCTAGGGCCATAAACCTCTCAATATCAGAAAAATTTATTCCAGTTCTCTACTATTCCAACCACTAGAAAGTTTTTCCTCATATCTAACCTGAATCTCCCTCTTCTTAACTTAATCCTGTTAATTCTTGTCCTATGTGCCATGGACATGGAAAACAGACTGTCCCTTGCCTTTTTGCAGCACGCTTTTCATGTGTCAGAAGGCCATTGTCCCTTGGTGGTTCTTGCTTCTTTGGGCTTTCCAGCTTTCCCAACACAGCCTCTGAAAATTTAACTATATTTAAAAAAAAGGAGTCTTACCTCTTTCTAACTGGTCCAGCCTTCCTGGGAGCGATGAAGATTTTGGGTGAAGCTTCAACAGAACCCTTGGCACTGCTCCTTTGTGCTCAGCAATATTGCACCTCTCAGTCCCCCTGCTCTTTCACAAGTGTTTTCTTAAGCATCATTCAGAGATGACCACAACACATGGAGTGTGTACCTGGACTCACCAGGAGGAATGACAGCAAGTCTGGGTTTGTACAAGTGCTTCACCACCCTGTTGGCAAACACCCAGTGGGAAGGGTCTGTGGCTGGCTGTTTGAACCCTTGAACTGGTGACTGGTGTGTCCTCTGTTGTTCACAGGGCCAGAGCTCTGAGGTGAGTCCAGGGATGAGACTGAAGTGTAACTCAGGCTCTACACTGCACTTCTGAAAAGCCTGCTGGCCATCCGAATCACTTGGGTGGTTGACAAGGCCTGATCTTCACAACACATGCATCCTTTGATCTCTCCAAAAGTCATATCCTGGCTCAGCAAGCCTGCAGGTTTGTCCCAGCTTTGGCCACACTCTCTGAGCAGCTCCAGGAGTCACTGAGTTCATTTGGTAGTCACCATGAACTTATCTGTGATGCCTGTCAGTTTGTTGGCCAGCAGCTACCCCAGCTGATGTCTGTCCATCCTGTGGCTGCTATCCCATCTTTGTGAACGGGCAAAATGGAAAACCTCAATATAAAGGGTATGGGTAACAAAGGATGAGTTGTCCTTCTAGTTCTGGGGGGCTTTAGTTCCTCTCTCCTGGTGGTGACTGGGTGGGAGACGAAGGACAAGAGCAGGGCATTCCCTTTCCTGTGTGTGCTGAGGGCTGGTTCTGATTTTGGGATTTGAGGAAGGGTATTTTTGCAGGAAGCATGGCAGTTTGCGTGGGCTGGGGTTGTTTGTCTCCTATGAATTGCTTTGCCCGGAGCGGTGAGGCTGCTGTTTGAGGGGGTGCAGCAATCACTGTTCCCTGGTGTGATGGGTTTGTCATCCACGGTAGTGCTGTTCCTGGGGTGTGTATATTTGTCAGCTGAAATTTTTCTGCAATTTCCTTGACAGGAGCAGTGAGTGACACACATTCCCTCAGGAGGTATTTCCATGTTTTTACTATTCTTCAGGCTTCTGTGACATTTCCCAAGTCCAGTTGTTGGAGCCTCAGGTTCAATCATCTACACTGCCCAGGACCACATCCCAGCAGGGATAATTTGGCCCTTCAGCAGTGAATACATTGACTTCTGCAGCTCATGGTATGCACAGTTTGGTATGCCCATGGTACGTGCCTTAAAACCTACTCTGAAATCCTCCATCGTTTGGTGCTCAGTGGCACCGGGTCCAGCATAATTTTTCATTCCTGTGACTCCCAACAATGGCCTGAAAATGAAGGTTAAAAAGAAAACTAAAACTGCTTTTGCCTTCTTTCCAGGTAGAGGTGCATACGAGACTGAAATTTTCAAGCTTTCAGTGAAACACCAAATATGTGTGTACAATTCCAGGAATGCCGGCTATCGGGAAAAGCACCGCTGACTGGGAGTTTCCTGGTAAAATCGTGACAGTTGACAGCACTAAGCAGATAACACAGGCTATATAAAACAAACTGCTTCTTGTGAGTGTGCTAACACTCCTTGCACTTCTCTGGCCTGAATGTTTTAAATATCTGTGGTTGGCTGTGAATGTTTGCACAAATCAACTCTTACTGTCCCTGGACTTTAGAGGTCTCTGATGACCCCTTTTGAGACTGAGGGGCTGTTGATGGATAGATCATGGAGTTCCTCCATCTTCATCACAGTGAAAAGAGAGGATGTCATTGTTTGACCTCAGCTGACAGCTGCTCATTCACTCCCATCCCCTGCCCCAATGGGGAAGAAAACCGGAAAAAAACGTAAAACTCATGGATTGAGATAAGTATAGTTTAATAATTGAAACAAACTAAAATATAATAGTCATATTAATTATAACAATGATAATAATAGTAATGAAAAGCAAAGAGAGAGAGAGAGGAACAAAACACAAGAAGGAAAAGCGATGCCAAATACCACTGTTCACCACTTGGTGGCCAGTGTCCAGCCTGTCCTCCAGCCGGGTTTCCCCCACAGTTTATATACTCAGTTTATATACTGAGTGTGATGTCCTGTGGGATGGAATATCCCTCTGGACAGTTTGGGTCAGCTGTCCTGGCCATGCACCACCTCACTGGCAGAGCCTGGGAAACTGGAAAGTCTTTGACTTGGAGTAAACACTACGTAGCAACAACTAGAACATCAGTGTGTTATCGACATTATTCTCATCCTAAATCCAAAACACCGAAAGGAAAATTAACTCTATCCCAACCAAAACCAGGACAGAGGAGAAGCCTCGTTTTTTTAATTCCCCCCCCCTCCTCCCCCAGCCAGAAAGTGCATTTACACCAATGGTTTGATTTTCAAGTTGCCCCAGGCCATCTGTGCTGTGCCAGTGGGTGTAGGTTCATTCCCCAGCTTTCAACCAGCTTGCAACCCTGAGGGTAGTTTGCTCCAGGAACCTCTTCTCACCTTTTCTCTTGACTCCACCAAGACTGGTCATCTCTGCCCTCATATCCCTCTATACCCCAAGGTAGACTTCACATATTTTCAGTAAACTGGGGTGGGGTTAAACTAAAATCTTTCTATTTCTGGCCAAAGGAAGAGAGACTTGTTACCAGGAACACAAGATCTGTCACCAACCACTGTGGAAAAAGAGAACTCTGTCTTATCTATTATTGCTGCTTTTGTTATTGATATTATTATTATTCTGAGAACCCACTGAGGCCCTCTTATTATGTTGTTAAAGTCAACATTTTCCCTGTGCACTTCATTCTCCTGCCTGGGAAAAATAAAGAATTTTTGATAAAGTTATGCTGATAATGCTGCTAATTAGTTTCTCATCTTTTAAAAATATGACTGCAGGCAACTGGAGCAAACTCTTTGTTGCAGGACATTGTATGCTGAAATGTCTATATGCTTGATATCCTCTGCAGGGCTCTCACAATATGCTAATTTGTCCTTGTAGCAGAGTTCGCTTTTTTAGGTCTTTTCCACTCTATTTTGCAAATCCATTATGTCAAAATATGATCAGTCATATGTGCACAAGATGCAGGCCTTCACCAACATATGGAGATATGTGTGTGTTTGTGTGCACGTTCACACATGAATAAGCTGAAAAAATAAATGCCCAGATAAGTGTGTATGAATTTATTTACGTACACACACAGATATATTTTTATTATTTTATATCATTTAATGAAATTAAATGTTTAATGAAGTTAAATGTCAATTTTTTGTAATTATCTATAATATGTGCATACACATACACACGAAATTTGACATCTATTTAGGAACTCATAGGGCTTAGCTCGTCTAGGGAACATTTACTCTCATTTCCCTTAAAATATATAGTTTATAGTCTCTATTCAGCACATAGAGTTTGCAAGCTCAAGTTGTATGCTTGCCTGTGCATTTCCTAGCACTTCCATCTGAACACTCATTATAATTTACTTTCAATAACTATCATCTGTCATTTTTAAAAGTTGCATAATAATGTGGTTGGTTCATATGAAAAGTGATGTTTGCTCTAAATTTGGCTACGATTTTGACATTGCTGTTAATATTTTTGTAAGCTTGACACCCACAAGCTGAAAAGACAGGTGGTAAGTTTATTTTTTTAAACTTCCCTTTCAACACCTCCCCCCAACAATTAAAAAACAAAAAAGTCACATTTTCAACACATTCACTGGAATTTCTATGTTCCTTTCTAGCAAAATTTCACTGAGGCAAAGGAGAAAGACTAAGTTTTGTACCTATTTGGATTAAAAAATATTGTAGTTTTCAGGTCCTGAGACTTAAAAATATTCCTTATCCAATTAAAACCATCAGCTGAAATGCTGCTGCTTCTTCCCTGGTCCTGGTGTATGTCCTGGCTCCTCCAGGGTGGGTCTGGATCTGTGCATCATTCCCTAATATAATTTTTTTCCCCTCTCTCCTTCTCAAGGTGCTGGAGGGAAGTACCAGAAGGGGCTCGTGGTGTTGCATCTTCACGCAGCTGAGAAGCAGGAATGTCTTGTGAGCAGCACCTTGTGGCTCACAGAGCTGCAAACAAAATGACCCAAACACAGAGTCCTGTGGCAAAAGTCCCAGACATGGAGTTTTGGGGCAAAAAGTTGCATTCCTCTTGAAATGGCAAAAGTGGGTGGTTTCCCTCTCTGTCTTTTTGAATTTTGAAAATTGTACATGGAAAATAAGTAGTTTCTAGAGATTGAAAACCTGGTTTTAGAGCATTTTCAAGAACACATTTTGGAAAAGGAACCACGACAACTGTCATTAAAAACAACCCCAACAGTGATTTTGAATTCTTTTTTAAAAAATTCAGTTTGTTTCAAGTTTTCTTTCTTTGTCCTGCTTTTGCCTCAGTTACTCTCCTAAAGAGCCAGCTGTAGCAGAAGGAAAAGTTTGCATATCTTTTCCTTCTTGTTTTCCAAAAGACATAAAACAGTTGAGTCACACTGACAAAGATTCTCAGTTTTCAGTGGTGGGGCCAAGACAAACAACAATCCTAAACGATGTTCTTTCTAGGACTGTCCTGAGCAAGAACAAACAAGCTTTGCTAATTAGACCAGTTCAGTCCCTGCTCAAAAGTGGTTTGAGATCGCATGGAAGCCTTTTTATCACCCTTGATGGTGTTGCTTCTATTTGAAGTCTTAAAATGTTGTGTGACAGCAGAAAATTAGGGTATCTCAGAGAAGGAAACATTAAACATTTGTGGAGACTCTTTTTCTTTTTTTTTTTCTCTTCTGATTTGGAACTCTTCACTGGATCCTACTCAAAACTGTAATTTCTTGTTTTACCAGTTGCTGCTCTTTTCAGGGCACAAAGTCTCCCCCTTCCCCAAGCCCATGGTCTTGTGGTGGGAAAGGTGGGAAGCTGTGCAGGCAAGAATTAGGGGCCAGAGGGGGGTAATTTCTGTGGGGCCAGCGTGAGTTCAGCAAAGGTTGGCTGTGACCTGGAGCAGTTGCCAGCTCTTCTGTCACAGACGTACGGAGAGTTGGTTGTGACATTTTTCATCTGTCAGGGAACACGCTATCCCAAATACCACAGGTAATTTTTTTTTATTTTCTATTTTTTTTTTTTTGCTGGCAGTTCCTTGTTTACTGTTGCAATGGCTGGGGACAAGGAAGCTCTGGTGCTGTACCCACATCCCCTCGGACCCAAGGGTCCAAGGATCTGTGAGGATCACGTGTGTCCCGTGCACACATCACTCGCACCGAGCTGGTTTGGGTTGTTGGTGACCAGGAAGAGCCAAAGGAGCCCTGGGCAACCTTCTGGAAACCATCACAGGCCTGCCTCAGGCTACCTGGGAAAGAGCTGCCTTTAGCCTTGTCTTCTCTTTCTTCCCTTAGCAGGTACCGAAGGTCAGGTCTTCCCTTCGTGCTTTGGTTCTTGCTATTTCTGCATCTGGTGAAAATGGTGTGGCTACTCCAAATTAACACAGATTCAGCTAAAATAACCTGTCTTCACAGGCAATTGCTTTTTCCCAGAGCTCCCTGAACGTATGGGAGCTGCAGAAATATGTGCTTTGTTCAGGGGCACGTTGTTGGTGATGTGATAAGTGGTGTCCCAATGGCACAGCAGTGAAAAACATGGGAGCATGTTGAGTTGCAGGAGCACTGGGTTGGCTTTGGATGGAGATAGGGCATGACTATTTGAATGCAGGATGGACTGGGAGGCTGAGTGGCTAGTGATGGGAAGGATGACTATAGGGAGGGATGGGTTAGATGCTTGTAAATGATAAGAGTGCCAGTAGCAAAGGAAAAAGGGGCTTTGGGATGGAAAGGCAATTATTTAATCAAAGGGAAAGTGGAGGGAAATAAATACCAGGGGAATGACAGACTGGTGCTCTGGAGTTGCCTCCTTCTGACTGGTTGGACCCTGACTGCCTGTCCTACCAGTCAGCTCCTGTCTCATATCGACTTCCCTGCCACCTCTGCTGCTCAACAGCTCCTGCCCTTATTTCAGCCAATGGATCCTTGTCTTTAGATTGACTGGTTGGTTGCCTGTTCTTCAGACCACCTCCATTAATTCCCACCCTCCAGCTTCTTGTCACCACATTCATTATTTTCAGTCCCCACCACCTCCCCTGCTGTTCTCCTGAGATATTTCACTGGCTCTGTTAGCCCTGAATTGCCATATTCTGGCTTGGCTTTCACCAGACAACCACATTTTATGTTCCTACTAGCTAATCATGCACCATGTTTACATCCATATGGCTGAGGATGGGTGGGCAGGCACTGAAGGCCATGCTGGGTCCCCACAGGCATGGGAGACTGGCTGGGCCAGGGACATGCTGGTTTGTGCTGAAACCCATCCCAGCCATTCATCTTGACTCTTCATTTTGACTCTGATACAGCTACAAGGAAAAACCAACATCTTCTGACCTCCATCAGTTGTGATGGCCTCTGCTCTGGATCCCTAAGGACCAGTCTTTGCACCTGAAAGCCAATTTGATATAAAAGCCTTGGGCAACTAAATCCATAATTAGACTAAGTAAGCACCCCTCTTCCCTCCTCTCCCAGTCTTGCTGAACTGGGGGCCAAGCCCACCTCTCTTCCAGGACAGAGGAAATGGGCAACTTCACAAGGAGGTGAAGTCTGCTGCAAATAGTGGAAAACCTCTTCTAACAGTCACTTGCATTTTTTTCCAGCCACGAATCACCATCCTGGGCTCTCAGGGAGCCCAGCAACCCTGTACCTGGGACAGAAGGCAGCTGTCCCCCTCACCATGGCCCTAGCACCACTGTGGGACTGATTCCTGTGCCAGGCTTGGTGCCTAGTGTGGCTGCACACTTTCTTGGGCTCAGCCAGAGAGGGAGATGGGAATGTTATTTTTGCTTTGTGTTGAGGAGTCTCTTTCACCTCTGAATCACCTTTTGCAGGAGATTTTGTACTCAAAGCTCCATCAGAGGAAAAAATCTGTGCTTCCTAGCACATCTCCCACACATGCACTCTGTAGATGACAACTCCAGCACTGCCTGATGTGGCAGAGAGTGTGGATGGTGGAGAACATCCCTTCCCAGTGATGGGGCCACCCTGGGCAACCCACAGCCACCACCAGCAGCTCGGGGTGTTGTGTTCATAGAGGAGAAGTCCTGGCAAACAACTATTGCTTGTTGGTTGTGCAGAGCAGGTAATTTTGCAGGTAATCTCTTAACAGCTAGAGGAAGGGCAGGAGAAGGTGTTTTTATCACTGAAGAGTGATGTGCTGTTTCTCCAGAGGGTTCCCTTGTGCAGCACACAGAGGCTCAGGGTTGGCTCACCTGCTTGTGAGCCCAGAGCAGGATGCTCAAAGATCCCAGAAATCCTGGCCAAAGGGCTCAAGCTGAGATGTTTAGTTATTTTCAGAGGGAATTTAACATATTTAAATGGATCCTGCCATGCACACTTCTCACAGATAAGAGGTCTCTTCCCTGGGCAGTGAGTCCGTGGGGTGGTTGGGTATTGCCTGGGTACTAAAGGTGTTTTTGCCCAACTGCTTTCAGGGAGCAGGAGCTCTGCTGTGCTGGCTGAAAGCTGCCTAGGAGAGAATGTCTTTAATTGGTGCCAGATCAACCATGGCCGTGGGTTGGTTGTTTTTTTTCAGGGCATGAATAGCATGATATCAGGGCAGCCCACAGAGCCATGCACTCAGTGGATCTGGCTGTATCTGTGAGGCTGAGGGAGAAAGGAGTCCTCCAGCTCACAGATTTGCATAATGTCTTTTATTTCCCTAAAGAATATACATTGTATTTGCCAGGAAACTCACCTGAGCTACCTTTTGTGTGAAGTAATGAATGCCAAACACATTAAATACAAATCATTTGCTCATCCCTGGAAGTGTTCAAAGTCAGGTTGGATGAGGCTTTGAGCAACCTGGTCTAGTGGAAGGTGTTCCTGCCCATGGCAGGGGGTTGGAACTAGATGGTCTTTAAGGTCCCTTCCAACTCAAACCATTTTGTGATTTTATAATTTATTTTCATTCTAAGCCTGAACCAATTACAATAACAAAATCAGAAGGTTGGATTCCACTAAAGTGGGATTTGGGAGGCCTGGGTTAACTGTTGACCTTTGCCATCTCTTTCCACTCTTTGCCTGACTCATCTCTTTCAGCTCCAGGTTCTTCAGGATATGGGATATCTCTTCCCATCCATCTGCAGAGTGTCTTGAGGCTCATCCATGTGCAGTTAATGTTATAAGCAGCATTTCCACTGCACTGAAAACACTGTAAGTCCAACAGTATTTTCAGAAATAGGTTGAATCTAAAAACAGATGATGACATTTCCCAATGAATAACCTCCTTAAATATTTAATTTGAACTTGGTGAAAACATTTTGCTTCGAACTGTTCTTAACTGATAAAGGTCAGCCCCTTTTAAAATTTCTATTTTTATTTTTTTTTTTTTAATTTCGCATAAAAATAATTTTCTGGTTAGGAAAATCGCTTTTGTTGAATTTCAACTACCATTTCTGTTGCATTGTGACCCCAAAACAGCTGCCTCTGAACTGCTTTTTGCCGTGGCTGCAGATGGCTGGGTGGCAGATGTGTTCTCATCCGACAAGTGGCTGAATTTTAGTAGCGAAGTGAGAGATCCCCAGTAGCCATTAAAGTCAACGTTCATCACCAGTTACTTTATTCTAGTGGCTTAGAGAGTGCAATTTTCATTTCTCGAAGAAGAAACTGCTGTAATCCTGTGTCTCCTCTGTCATATGAGAGCGTACTGGAGCTTCCATTAATCACTGTCAGTTGCTGAGAGATCATAGGCAGAAAAGCACTTGAAAGAACAAAATGTTACAAACTTAAACAAGAAAAACTCAAAATCACTACAAAAATCAATTTCAGAATTGAAAGTTATAATTATTTTATACTGCTTGTAACTGGGATCTTATGGATGGAAAAGAAGAGCAGATTCAGCCTCTAATGACTCACTGTGTTTTATTGATTGCTCTCTTTTAGCTCAAGCCAGTGTCATCCAAGATGTACCATCAAGAAGACATCAAAGATGGAATTCTGGTCAAAAATGACCAAATCAAAATCCAAAAATCACATCTGAATTCACAATTTCAACTCTAGGCAGCAATGCTGCAAAACTCCATGGTGAGGGGAGTTGGAAAATCCTTTCTGATTTGCTCAGTTTTCTGGCTGGAAAAGACTTTTTAGAAGTTTCACTTCCTTAATGAAAAGAAGAGATGGAGGCAGGAAGATGGAGGTGGGGGAGAAATCTGAGATTGCTTAAATTGCCTAAGAACCCTTTCTTGGGATTACTTGTCCTTCAGGATGTGCTTTGTAGTTCCAGGACAGCAACAGGTGGTAAAGA